AAAATCGTCTACTCATCCAATTGAGATTGTTTGAGTGTCTGGAGACGCTTAATAAAAGTACTAAAACATATCAGGAAAACTGTGATTTATTAACATATAAAAATCTATATAGCTTCTAGATTTTTAGTTAAGCTTTTCATAAATATCTTTCATGCAATTTGATTTCTAATGTTAAGCATGGTAAAATATGAAAGGGAGAAAGAGGAAAATAGGCCAAGACTTGAGATGAATTAAAATTAATAGGCTAATAGTTTACATAAGTTAATAAATATGCCAAATTACTGTTTTCGTCCATAACTTGTCTGGCTATGAACTATAACTTGACAAGTTTATCCATAATTTATCTGGTTATGAACCATAACTTGACAAGTTATGGCCTATTAATTTTTATAACTAAAAGTTGGCCTATATACTTTTTTAAACTTTTCATATTGGTCTATTTCCTACTATTTCCCGGTATGAAACCCAAACGTAACCATTTCTCATTAGATAAGAGAATAAATTAAACAAATACAATAATACAACAAACTTTAGGTTACTTAAGAAATCAAGCTTCATCCTTTTTTTGGATTGTTATTCAAAAGTTGGGCATTCGTATTTAGGTGGTTATTTGAAAACGAATAATGCTACAGACATCAATTTAAATTTTAATTCTTATATACTAATTGATATGACATGTGAATTGTTATTTTTTTTTATTAGTGGGTGTTTCAAATATTACCACTCAATTAATAAAAAAAATTACATTTACCAATAAAAAAAATGACAATTCACGTATCACAGCAGTTGGTACATAAAAGTTAAAATTTGAATTGGTATCTCTAGTAATACTCTTTAAAAAAACATTAATAGAATATTTATTTTAAGGGTTCATCCATTATTCTGAATTATAATTCTTAATTTTTTACAGTATTTTTCTCTTATAAAAAATTTAAATTTTAAAAATTAAAATCATAAATTATAATTCTGAATACATGTACTAAACATCTCATAAAATTCACGTCAATACGTCGTTTCTTTTCCATTGAGCTGCGAAATCGGAGAATTTGAAAGAAAAGAAGGATGAATAGTACCAAATATGGACCGGTCATAGTTACTGGATAAAAAATTTTAGACCGTTTGGAAATTACTCTTCAAAGAGTATGAAACTCTTTTCGAATTTCCGTCCATGTCAGTTCGTACACAGCGAGAACCAATATTAAAAATCTTCTTTCCATTCGATCCATTAATATTTTTTTGTCATCACGATCTTTTATTTTTTTTGGTATTTTCTTAAATTTTTTAACCATATTATAGCTACACAAAATAAATCACCCTGTATTTTTACCCATATTATGATATATTTTCACTTATTTTCTAAAAAGAAAATTGTACTTCTTTATTCAAAATAATTAAATATGATAAAAAAATATCAAATAACTAAATGATGAGAAAAAAATATAAAGAGGTTCTTAAGGCCCGTTCACTTCGCTGATTTGAGTTTATAATTTGAGTTGAGATGTGATTTTATGTGAGAATTTTTTACTGTAATAAAAAAATTAAATATGACTGTTTCTGAAAACTTTTTACTGTAGTAAAACTCAAATTCTAAATTCGAATCAGTGAAAAGAACGGAACCTTCCTCTAATAGACACTGAAATAAACTACATAAAATGCTTTATTTTCAACCACCACATTTGTTTAAAAAAATTATTTATTTTATATATTTTTTTAATCGGATGTAATTAGAAAAATCTTAAAAGAAAGACGTGAAAGTTTGAATTGTTCAATCTGGACTCAACGACATGAATGAGAATTATAGGTTTGGCATGCCTTAAAGGGATGATAGTTGTCCCAATCCGACTCTAAAGATTGACGGGTCTAGAGTTAAATTAGGTCGAGACCAAACTAACAATATCAAATCTCAGACCGATCTGTTTAATCCGGTTTAAATTTTTACCTCTAACCCTCCATATTATGACACTAGTGTAGCGTGTGCCATATGTCACTCAAAGTAGATTTAACTTTTGTTTGCAGATCGCAAGTGTTGTCCTCATTGAAGAATAGAATAGAATCATGATTTGACTCTTTACTTGATTAAATCGATATGAGCTTTTTGGTGGTTTTCCCTTTTGGAAAGGTTCAGGTTTGAATTTTGGAGGTTCACTTTCCCAACTTTACGTGATTTGTTTTTAGGTTCTGTCCCTTTTTTTTTTTTTTTTCTCCTATCTTTGTTAAGGTTCCGTTCATTTTACCGATTTAAATTTAGAATTCGAGTTTTATTACAGTAAAAAATTTTAAAAAATAATCATATCTAATTTTTTTATTACAGTAAAAAGTTCTCATATAAAATCACATCTCAACTCAAATTAAAAACTCGAATAAGCGAATTAAATGAGCCTTAAATATTATGAGTACCCACATAGGCATTTGTAAGTATATCTCCTTTGATTGATTAAATTTGGATGATTTCCACCTCAAGAAGATCACTTTCAAGAAGTAATGGCGTGAGGCTTCCTGGTATTTAATGGTATTTTGACTTATTGTAGTTTATTTATATATTGATTTGTTTATTTATTTATTTATTTTTGTATTTTTTTCCTCCCAAATGCAAAGATTACTTGGAAAACAGAATTAGATATTGTTAGGGTGTGTTCATTTGCATGAGTTGTGTTGTGTATGTGAGACGAAAACACTGTTGCAAAAGTTGAACTTAAATTTGTTGGCTTTTGCTTAAAGTGAAGACTCATGGCCAGATTGACTTTAAATTTTCTCAACCATTTGGCAATAGAAAACCATATTTCACAGACTCAATTTGTTCTTTATGTTGTTTTGACTCTTATTATTTCTTTGTGGTTTTATGTCTAAAGACCATTTCGTGCATGAATTTTCTTCTGTCCATTCAAAAGAAAGAAAATAATTTAAATTAAGTTTTTTGTTTTGCTTGCAGCTTGTGGTTGACATCAGCTTGCCTTTTTATATATCCTCTTTATGTTGGTCAAGATAGCTTAGCTTTAGTTTTTCTAATTCCAATTGTCAAAACCTCCATGCAAAACTTTATGAAAGAGTCCTTATTGATCAATTTTCAAACACGTGGTCTGCAGGATTAGTTGCTATGAATTTCTTAAAAATTTATGCATTCAATTTTTCTAGGATAGTGAAAGTGTGAATGGACTTTTGAAGTTGAAGATACTTAGGAAAATTTCATTGAACATCACTTTGGACATATATGAAGCAGTTGTTGAGGACTTAAGTGGGTGTGTGTGGAATAAAAAAAAAAAAAAAATGTTTGAATGGTTTAGTATTGCATATTGCCATATTAGAGTAAGTTGGTACCTATAATATGTTTAGTCTGCGTATCCATTAAGCATATCCTAAATGAATTATATTAGAGTAAGTTGGTACCTAAAATATGTTTATAAATGCTTGTTTTTGATAGAAAAGTTATAGTTGCCGGTTGAAAGACGTGATGATAACTTGATCTGGATCTGGATCTTGTTGTACTTGTAATTTCTTTTTTTCTTGTTTCTTTGTTGTTGCTTGTTAGCTTGAATATGGTGGACTCTCTGTCCATCGCTTGTTCTTGTAATTTTTTCCATTGGAATAAAATTTTTCAGTTTCTTATTATAAATAATAATAAAAAAAAGAAAGACGTGATGATAATGCAATTCACTTTTTACTGGGTAATCAGAAACTGGCATTTCTCTGCTCATAAGGAAACTAGGAGCAAATATTTCTTAGAATTGCCTTGTGGGATCTAAAAACAAGAATCTAACATATGTTTTTGTGTTGTTCCAGTCCACATTATGGTATAATGAACCATTGACTTGATGACTACTAGCCTTATGGTCAAATGGAATCAATATTCTTGCCAAATTTGAATAACAATCTATTACTGGTTTTTCTTTTAACAATAGCTTAGTGGGGTGTAAGAAAGTAAGCAAGATTTAAATTGGATTGAATATCTTGCATTCAATAGTCTTAGCTCTAAGCTTATTCAATTTTCATATGATTTCATCCAATGGACTGAAAATGTGTGTGTTTGTATCTGTACACATGCCTTAGACTGACGGGGAAAGTATATGTTTCTTAATAGTACACCTGATCATTTTCGCCCAAACATCATTTTTGTTGAGAAATGTGCATGTGTGTGTTGTCCCACATGGAAAGTGAATGAGAATGTGAAGTGATTTATATACATAGAAGGACCCAAAACCTAATAGGTTAACCTTTTGAGTCAAGTTGGGCTTCAGTGGGCTAGTTTTACATGTGGCGTCTCCCCGACAAGTGGTATCAGAGCTGATGGTTCGTATTGGCCAAGTGATCACACTCGGTTGCATTTCCCACGTTGCCTTTTGTGGAGAGTTGGTGTTCCCGCAGTTGGTGCTGGTGCAAATGCGGATGGTGGAGCATTTGGTGGACTCGCATGGTTTCCGTTTGGAGTGTGATGCTTGGGTATACCGGCTACTAGAAACTTTGGTCCGAGGGGGAGGTCAGTGAACACACACATGAGGGGGAGATAGTTGAGAAAAGGGCATGTGTGTGTTGTCCCACATGGAAAGTGGATGAGAATGTTAAGTGGTTTATATACATGTTAGGAACCAAGACCGAATAGGTTAACTTTTTGGGTAAGACAAAAGCGTAAAGCATTATGTAAGTGGTACAACAACAACTTTTTAATAATGAAACATTGCATGGCAAATTATGGTGGAAAGCGATCATTTTCATTTAGTATTTTCTTCTGTGGAAATTATTGTAGGAAAAACCTGCACCCTTGACATTTAGAATGGAACCAATTATGGTTCACATATGATATATTAATGAAATCATCTCTTGATTTATTGACCCTATTATTGGTGAAAAAAAAATGTGTACTTTATTATATACTATGGAAAATTTGTAGTTTATTATACAATGTATGTACTTTGAAATGGATTTCTGGCGTTATCCACCATTCATATGACAAATAAATAAGGACCTTAAGAATAGATTTCCATTGAAGCACCAAGTATAAACCTAAAATGGACATGCTATCTACTTGTGGTTTTATGTCTGGTGAGATTATACTGCAACCTATGATAGCTGAGGCCAGGTAATAAGATGGGTGGTTTTATAATTACAAAACGCTGCTTGTTCTTTCTATGCTTAATGTTGTCCTGCTTGGATACAGAATTTATTGTTTGCATTAACTTACTCTAATCTGTTTCTGTCTTTTCATATTAATCAGTCTAAAGACCCGAAAGGAACAAGTTGGTATGCATATTCAGTCTTTCTCTTAAGTTTAGTTTTCTGTTAGCAGTTTTAGAAGTCAATCTATCATGATTGATTTTGTTGTAACATGGCAGGCTTTCATACAAAAGTACCTCGAAATGTGAATTTGGAGAAATTGCGGAATGGATATTTGTTTCCGGAGGTGCTTTTGTTTCTCGTGTTTGTTTCCCAACTCAAGTTGACAATTTTCTTTCCATGTGGAGATAGTTACCTATTATAATCTTTTCCAATGTCATTATCTTGGTGCTATTTACTTAAGAGAAGAATACCAGAAGTATTGTTAGATTATCAAATTTGTGTCTTAGTTTAAGCTCCTTTTATTCTTACTACTGCAATGGCACTAAAATCAGATTTCAAGACACGAGCTTCAACACATTGAGAAGTACCCGAATGCAAAGTTGATAAGCCTTGGGGTTGGTGACACGACGAAACCAATACCACAGATCATAGCATCACACATGGCCAATGTGAGTAGTTTTAAAGGGGTTTTGAAATTTGTTCATATATGATTGTTCTATTGAACTAAGAGGTGAACATTGACTTTATATGAGGTGCATGATTAGGAATACATGAAACCAATTGATCTAGATGAAAATTTAGCATAATTTATCTTGAGAGAGTAGTTTTCTTTCTTGCTCCATTTATTTATTTATTTATTTATTTTTAAATCGTAAGTTTTGCTTGACACTAAACAGTATACATTTGTGTTGATGAATACCTATGCTGAGAAAAAGATTGCTAGTGGAAATGACATTTGAAACTTAAAATGGTAAAATTTTAGGAAACTCCAATACTTATTATAATGGTGTGGTTATTTTATTTGAGAGGCCTGATTATACCATTTCAATGGGGGTGAAAATACTTGTACACCCACCAAATAGAACCTTTCATGAAAGACAACAGTTATGGCTTCTCCTGCTTCTTTTTTAGCAAGAAGATGTTGTTGACTCTAATCTGTGGTCAAAGGTCCTGTCTATATAATTGGATGCTAGCATTGATATGTGGAAAATGAAAAATACGAACTGCCTAAGAATATATAGTTCCTTGCAGTATGCATTTGGCCTCTCAACGGATATTGGTTATAAGGGATATGGACCTGAGCAAGGGAACAAGGTATCATAGTACTTGTTTCAGTTTTTATGTTCTCATGCCAATATTGAACTTCTTTTTTGTTAGATATTATTTTACCTTTTTCTCTCTTTCTTGAAGTTTAGTGCATTTGGATTAATGAAAGATATCTGCCATTGTCTGTCCATTTGATACGAGTTATTCATATGATATTCTTCTTCTATTTTACAGTGATTCTTTTGCACTTTATCCTCTTTCTTTTTGCTAATAATTCATATAAATTTTACATGAAGCTGAACGTTTTATCAGTCTTCCCTTGGATTAACTTCTGTGTCTTCATCACAGGCATTAAGGAAGGCAATTGCTGAAGTATTTTACAAAAATGAGCTGGTAAAAGACACAGAAGTTTTCATATCGGACGGAGCGCAGTGTGATATCACTCGCCTTCAGGTAATCAATCTGCCTGCCACTACTATTTTGAGGGTCTTTTTTTCTATATTCTTTCCCTATTTTATTTTTATTTTATTTTTATTTGAATCTCTTCTACTCTCAGGTTCATCTGATTGCTTCTATCTTTTTCCTAATTTTTTTTTTTAACCAAAATAAGGATTTATGGTTGTCTCTTTCTTCCCCCTATATCACCAGTTACTTCTTGGTTCGAATGTGACGATAGCCGTTCAGGATCCCTCCTTTCCGGTAAACTTTATAGTTCCTTTTCTTTTATCATGTACTCTTTTATTTTTTGTTATATAAATGGCTGGGGAAATTATGATTTCGAAGCCAGTTGGCAAGTAAAGAATGTGTTTATTGACAATTTGTGGAATCTGCAATTCCCATGTTTCAGTAGCACTTAAATCAAATTCTTTCTGCACTTTCTCAGCAATTCGAACCCTTTCCATCTTAAGGAAAACTTGGGTTTCTTTAATGTTTCATTCTTAGACTCTAGTACTAAGATTACTCAGATTTTTTCCTGATTCCACGTTTGACTTCATGAAAAATTATGCTATTTGTTACATGTTTGAGTAATGACATTCCAGCATCCGCATTTCTCTTACGTAAATCCTATACTTTCTTCTGTTTCCCCTGGTTTTGTTATTCCTGTAGTTCTTGATGATAAATACTTCGTTTAAGACAGGCTTACATAGATTCAAGTGTCATAATCGGTCAGGCTGGTCATTTTGAAGATAATGCTAAGAAGTATCAGAGCATTGAGTACATGAACTGTGGGCCTCAAAACAATTTCTTTCCTGACTTGTCAACAACTTCAAGGGCAGATGTTATCTTCTTTTGCTCTCCAAACAATCCAACTGGTCATGCAGCTACAAGGAAACAGTTAGAGGAACTTGTAGAATTTGCAAGAGACAATGGCTCAATTATTGTTTTTGATTCCGCTTATGCAACTTATATCAAGGATGATAGGCCTCGTTCGATTTTTGAAATTCCTGGTGCCAGAGAGGCAAGTATCTCTATGACTTTGTTATCCCAAACTATGGAAATTTTCTTTCATTAATGAAAGGCTATTGAGTGGAATCTCTCTCTCACTCATTCCGTTATGCAATATTTTATGCATAGCGTCTTCTTTTTAGGTGGCAATCGAAGTATCATCCTTCTCCAAATTTGCTGGCTTCACAGGCATCCGTCTTGGTTGGACCGTCGTCCCCGAGGAACTCTTGTATTCCAATGGCTTTCCTGTCATACATGACTTCAATCGCATTGTGTGCACTTCCTTTAATGGAGCATCCAGTATAGCTCAAGCTGGCGGGCTGGCTTGCCTTTCTTTTGAAGGTTTTGCGGTAAGTTTACAATTCCTTACAAGTTATTAAAAAAAAAAGAGGATTATTTACCATTTCATACCCTGCATTTTAGGTTTATTCAGAAAGTATGCGTTTGGTTTTTGATCATCAAAAGTATACATTCAAATTTCGTTTAATATATAAATTCATACCTTATACCAGGCAACACTAATTTTGACCTCAAAAATGATCAAAGTACGCTTAAATACAAGAAAGAAAAAATTTAAAAAAATCTTCCAAAAAAAATATATAGAAATAGAAAATCTTCAAAGTGTTTTTTTTTTTCTCCTCATATTCTTCTCTTAGAAAGTTTTTAAAAGTTTTTAAGAGTTTTCTTTGTTATTTCTAAGGGTAGAAATAGAAAATCTTCAAAAAATGGTGTTTTTTTTTTCTCTTTTCATATTCTTCTTTTATAAAGTTTTCAAAAGTTTCTAAGAGCTTTCTTTATACTATTTAAGGGTACTTTGGACATTTTTTAGGTCAAAATTAAGTGTTGATTAGTAAAAAAGTATGAACTTGTATATTAAATGAAACATGAAGGAATACTTTTGATGAAATCAAAAACTAAATGTGTACTTTTTAAATAAAGTTAAAATGCAGGGTTAACTAGTGTAACTTTAGTTGTGACATTGCAAGCCCTTATAAAGTAGAGTTAACATGATTTGAACTTTGCATATACTTATATGTTACTAAAGAATTCGACGCTGTTTCAGGCTGTGCAATCGGTGCTCGACTACTACATGGAGAATGCGAAGATATTGGTCGAGACTTTCGCTTCGCTCGGTCTAAAGGCGTACGGGGGTAGAAACGCCCCCTACATTTGGGTGCATTTTCCAGGCTCAAAATCCTGGGAAGTCTTCTCCAAGATTCTTGAGAAGGCGCACATAATTACAGTTCCGGGGAGTGGATTTGGTCCAGGTGGTGAGGAGTACATAAGGGTTAGTGCATTTGGCCATAGAGATGCTATCCTTGAGGCCTCAAGGAGGCTGAAAATCCTTTTCTCTTAAGAAAAAAGACTTTCTTTGTCATTTGCTCAGCTGTTGGAAAAACAGCTAAAAAGAATATGGCTTGAAAAGGCTAAAGCATATTTGGCATGTAATAAGATATCGAGAATTTGAAACTTTTTTTTTTTTTTTTTCTGAGCTATTACACGTGAAGTCACAAATCCCTTGCATTAAGGCCCCGTTCATTTCGCTGATTCGAGTTTAGAATTCGAGTTTTTCTACAGTAAAAAGCTCTCATAAACAATTACATCTAACTTTTTTACTACAGTAAAAAGCTCTCACATAAAGTCACATCTCAACTCGAATTAAAAACTCGAATCAGCGAACTAAACGGGCCCTAAAAGTTGCTTTTTTGCGTTTATGTTTGGAAACCATAAAATGAATTGTCTTTTATGTGAGGAAGTCTTTTTGTTGCCAACCACAAATAGAATGAAAAAAGAGACAAATATCATTTAAAGTGTATAGATATGTATTTTTACTTTTTACTTTTTTATTAATATTATTTTTAATTAGATAACTATATTAGTCAAAACTTAAAAAGATATTAAAAATAAATAGTAAAAATTTAGACTAATGCATGAGTTCAACAAACTTTCCCTAAAATTTATTTCGAATGCCAAAAAGTTGTGAGTACATTACCCTTCCTTAAATCGAAACCGTGGAATACATGAGTGGTTAAGAAAAATAAGGGACAGTCCCTTCGTTGGAAAGCGAGGGACGGAGGATATCCCGTAAAATTTTATTTATTGCTAGTTTATTTTAGTGTTTGATTATTATTATTATAAGAAGAAATTTTGTTTTGAAGTTAATATTAAACAGAAAATTATGAACTTAATAATTTAATCAAAACTTAATAAATATTAAACAGAATATTAAACAGAACTTAATAATCTAATTTTATTAATTATTGAGGAATTTAACTTATGAACTTTCTTATGAATGCTTAATTTTAGTGCTTGATTATTATTATAAGAAGAAATTTTGTTTGGGAGTTAATATTAAACAAAAAATTATGAACTTAATTATTTAATCATAACTTAATAAATACTAAACAGAATATTAAACACAACTTAATAATCTAATTTTATTTATTATTGAGGAATTTAACTTGTGAACTTTCTTATGAATGGTTGATTTCATATTTTTACCTGATAATTAAGTTATAAATGTATGAATTCTCTAAGTTGGATGGTTTCATTCTTTTTTTTTTTTTTTTGTAATTAAGTTACAATTTTCTTTTCATTATAGCCAGATTCAATGGAGAAAATGGATGAGCTTATAACTTAACTACAATTAATTTAACATTTTCCCTCTAAAATTTAATGAAATGTTAATGAGAAACTAAATTTAAGACACTTATAGACTTCAGAATTTAAGTTAGAACAATTTCAGTGCATGAACTAATTTTACAAAGGGAACAAGTTCATAGATCTCTCTGAATTTAGCTCTTTTTATAAGTTATAATTTATTTATCTCCTCAAACTTTAACATATACGTACATCTCTCAAAACACGACGCATCGTTTTAAGCAAAGAACCACATATGGTTTTGTTGATCTGAAATCTGAAATCTTAAATTATAAGTAAAATAAATAGAAAATAAAAAAAATAACGGATCTACTTTACTTACTACTAGTTGAGCCACGTGCTATATAGTTGTGACGACCCTCTTAGGTGGCCGTCACTGTAACTGAAAATTAACTTGTACTTGCTGGAATTTCTGAAAATTTGCATAACATTTTTCTTTTAGGTCTTATAGTAGACATAAGTTATGAATTGCTTTTTTGATTAAAATATTCAAACCTTAACATACATGTTTCTCAAAGCATATAGATATATCTACATGTATATACTTAATCGTTAAGTCTTGCTTACTTACAACCATAATCAATAAAACCATTTAACATATAGTTTTAGAATCATAAATTAGCAAAACTATTTATAACATAAACTATTTATAACATAAAACCAATTGCGGAAATAATTGCGAGCGGTATCTATTCCCCGATCTCCACATCATTCGTCCATACGCCAACAGTCCATCAAGTATTAGGTGCAGGTTGTTTACCTACTGTATAAATATTCTATGATGAGCTTTCGCTCAGCAAGTAGGAACTATCTATCGTAAAATAACTGTAAGTTCACATGACTAAATATGCGTGAGTCAATTATGCTTAATTATGATAATGTCTTATTAAATTCTAATTGTCTGATCTTATCTTACTCACTTATGGGCCCGAGTGCTCGTACCATGTGCGCACAACCATCGAGACGTGGGGGTTTACAAGGTCCCCAATGACACCGTGATTTAACTTACTATATACTTCTTTTTCTTTTCTATCTCCTTGCAGAGTCTGAGTTACCTCCCTCTCAGAGGCTGGTACGACACGCAACTGAGTTTGTTCTTATAAGTTTCACTTGACTTATTAAGATGTATGCATTATGACATGTCATCGTATAAAGCATAAACATGCGTACATAACATGTGTAACCTTTTCCTTTAAAATCTATTCATATTGTAGGCGAGATTCCTACTTACCTGATTTACAGAGCTGGAATATTCACCAAACAGTCTATTCCCTTACTTGCTTACTTCTGAAAATGAACACCCATTGAGAGTGTGAGATTTACCGGCGTTTACTATTCTATTTTAGCAACTTATGAAGGAAATCAAATCCTTTACGTAAGGCATGTATTCATTTCCTTTATCGATGGATCATAAAATTTACTATAAGGATTAATTTATTAAATACTAAAAATCTTATTTTTCTTAATTGCCCTTAACATCCACTTGCCTAGATTGAAAATCAATTACCTATCTAGTAACTTATTCTCCATAATTTACCTTATTGGACTTGTTATGATATTAAGGCCTAATTCGGCCTAGAAACTTATAACGGCGTTCTAACTCTTAGTCGTTAAAATTTAAACTCAAATGGGGTCTCTTGAATTAAATGCGGACGTTGGACCCACATCTAATCTTCAAAATTACAAGGACCTAACCCTTTTGGCTTGTAATTTTCCATTCGGATGTTCTTGCTTGAAAACTGTTAAGTTTTTGCTCAAAAACTGTTAAGTTTTTAACTGAAATCATTTTTCTTGAAAACTATCTCCATTAATATTCCCGTTAAAACGAGGTCTAAAACCATAGTATTTTACTGAAATCTCATCTCAAGTTCTTTGATAACTTTTGTTAAAAATCATAATTGTTTCAGTTTTGTCCGATTAAAATTTATACAGTTTCAGAATCTACATTTTACTATATCTTAAAGTCGGATTTTAAAAATCTGTTATTCACTGAAATTCTTCGTCTTGTCGGGATCTAAAATCATGGTTTTCAAGAAAACTGAGATCCGGCCTCTAGAGGACCCATTTGGCTGCCAGTTTTTTTTTTCCGTAGTTATTTTGGATAACATTGTGATTTTTTTGAAAATAGCTTAGAACTTGCATTTAGAGTTAAAACTGAGTTTTGTCACAATCACAGAAAAACGTTCAAAACATCGAGAAGTCTAAGTTCAAATTTAGAATAACTGAAAAATCTCGCTCTAGGATCCTTATTTTCACGTTCAAAGTAACCGGAAAATTTTTACCTCTAACCCAAAATAAGCAAACTTAAACCAAGCATAAACATACCACATAATACTAATCAAACTAACCTCAAAACACACAAAACCAATATAAAACTCACACACCCTTATTACAAACTTGTTTTCTCAAGAACCACAAATTACATTCATGATTCACAACTTAAACTTTGTTAGAAAAATAGAGGAAGGGTTTAAAGTTTTTACCCTTGAAGAAGATTCGTGGTTAGGCTCCTCCTAAAAACACTTTGATCACCTTCTTCTTCCTCTAAATTTTGCTAATGACTTGGAACTAGAAGAGTAGAAAAATTTGAGAAGAGCATTTCTAAATCCCAAAATTTGCTAGAAACAAGAAAGAGGAGGTTTAGCGTTTTACCCTTGAAGAAAATCCTTGGCTAGGCACCTTCTAGAACACTTTGGTCCCTTTCTTCTTCTTGAGATCCTAGACTAGTGCTTTGTGTTTAGAAGGATGAGTGAAAATTTTTTTGAGAGGAAACAAGAGAGAGGTATGGCCAGTTTGGTGCTTTAAGAGAGAAGTGAAGTAAGCTTTTTTGTTAAATAGTTGATTTGATTCATCTCATCATGAAGTCAACTAACCAAAATTTTTGCTTAAAACCCCTTAACATGGCCGGCCAAGTGAAGAGAGAGAGGAAAAAAAAAAAACTATCATGAGTACTCTTCACCTTCCACCATCACATCTCATCCAATCTAAACATTAACCTACCCCTTGTACTTTTGTCCCGTCACTTAAGTTTCCTTTGAAACTGTTAAAAATTATACTGGCTGTAAGGAAGTACTTAGTCGACAAGAAATTCTAGTTTCTGATGGTTTCTTTTCTACTGCTTATTTACAGTTCAATATTAATCCCCCAGTACTTCGATATTAAATTTAAATGGATGATCTAGATGTGTTCAAATTCAAATTTAAATAATCACATTACTTAAATAATAATTAATTCTCAATTAATTATTTTTGAGTGTTTAATTTTAGAATTCCGTAATTCTAAAATTCCCATTTTGCCATTTGTGTCTTGTAGAATTACTAGGATGACACGGTGACTAATGGACCTATAATCCCGAGCTCCAATAAAATTAATAATTAATTAAACACTTTAATTAATTAATTAATTCTATTAATTTCAATAGTTACTCCACTATAAACTTGGAATTGCACTCTCAAAATTATAGATATAAATTACTTCTAAACTGTGAAGTGTCCATTCGATATAGTCACTGCATATAGATTAATCCTCCATAAATAATTCATAATTCGAGTTAGGTAAAATCCGTTAACCTCTCTAATTATATCTTTATCCTTGAGTACCATTGATTCTCTAATGGACAGTGATTCATAAAATACATTCATGAATTAGAGCTCCTACTGGTCCAAGTACCGAATCAACCCTCAAGAGAATTATTTATTTACTTCTATCTCAAGAAGGAATGGATTCCATCTCGTATAATAACATTTCCGGCTACCTACTTCATCATGTCTTCAAAATACAAGGAATAGGATTCAGGATCTCAGAATTCATACCGAGTAAATTAAAAGACACAAATCCATAAATAGGAGTCTCTTAAGAACTCAGGATTAAGATCATTCCATATATGACAATCGGTAGACTCAATTAGAATTTCTATACTTAACGGAAATTATTAGAAATTCATATTGTGTCTGTGTCCATGTTCCACGTAATCTCATTATGCGAAATACACTCATTCAATATCTCGCCATATTAAAGTGTGGATAACATTGTTCCATTCTAAATGGAAATAACATGTATTAATAATGTTTTAATTAAAGATTATGAACTTTAATTAAATTCATTATGAACACCATTTTTTGATTATTATCCTTAAACATTATCCTCTCGTATACAACACTTATATACAACATTTAAGGTTACATAAATAATCATGGAATTTTCATTGATATTCATAAAATATTCATAAATATATGCACATAAAATAATGAATAAACTCTTTCATTAAATAAGTAATAAATATTATATTACATCTCATGCTTCTAGGACGCCATTCCCAACACTGATATCACATGGCTAAGGAACTTCACCTATGTCAGCTAGAAGTCACACTTCTCCTTTTTTGCATACAGTTGGTGTTCATGAAGAGTTTGAAGAATAATTCTCAAATGTTGCTCATGCTCTTCCCAAGTCTTCGAATAGACTAGTATGTCATCGATGAAGACAGTCACGAACTGATCTAAGTACAGACAAAAGACACGGTTCATTAGATCCATGAATGCAGCTGGGGCATTCGTCAATCCGAAAGGCATTACCAAGAACTCGAAATGCCCATACCGAGTTCTAAATGCAGTTTTCGGAATGTTTTCCTCCTTAATCTTAAGCTGGTGGTATCCTGACCTCAATTCAATCTTAGAGTAATACTGTGATCCACCCAACTGATCGAATAACTCATCGATCCTCAACAGTGGGTATTTATTATTCACAGTTACCTTATTCAATTGACGATCGTCAATGTACAACCGGAGAGATCCGTCGTGCTTCTTCACAAACAAAACAGGTGCACCCCACGGGAAAGTACTATTCCTTATATACCATTTTTTTGTTAGCTCCCCGAGTTGTTTCTTTAGTTTTCTCATTTTTGTAGGTGCCATTCGGTAGGGAGGAATAGAAATAGGTGCCATTCTCGGTATCAAATCAATGCCGAATTCAATCTCTCGATCTGGCGGTAAACCAAGTAATTCATTCAAAAAAAAATCTGCGAACTCATCCACCATAGGAATTCCCGCATTATCCCCAGTTACCTCGGGTTCACCTTCTAGAGCAAGAAGGAAAGAGAAGCAGACTAAGTTCCTACGTCCTCCAACGCTGTATCTCAACAGTCATTCTTCTAGGACTGGATTCATGTATGCTTGATAAGTGATTATCACTCCAGAATTAGTCGTCAAGGTCACTCTCCTACGGTAGCAATCGACAATCCCACCTTATCTTGCTAACCAATATATTCTGAGCACCACGTCAAACAGACTCATCGGAAGGATTATTAGGTTAGCTCTTAATCGCTCACCTCCAATCGTGATTTCACATGATCTACATATACTAGCTACCTCCACACATCCCAGTGGGGAGCTCAAAGTCATTGGGGTTTCCAAGCTCTCAGCTTTCAATTTTAAGGTTTGGACAAAAGAACTTAATATGAAAGAATGGGTAGCACCAGTATCAAACAGTACATGTGCTAAGGAGTGAGAAATTAGGATCATACCCTCAACCACTGTGTTGCTGGCCTGACCTCCAGAACTACCTCTTGTCAGGGTATAAGCTTGTCCTTGCGCTTTCCCCTTCCCTTTATCACCAATATTAGGCCGTTGAGTCCCTGGCCTATATTGTTGTGGCGGAGGAATCTGTACTGGTCCCGACACTTGAGGCCGAAACTGTAGATATTGAGGCAGTCGGTAGGGTAGCACATGAGGGTACGGCATTTGCATCGGTAGTTGTGTCTGATAAGGTGGCACAAACTGCGGTGGTCTCTCCTGACTGTAGGAAGCATCACTTTAGGTTAGTTGAGTCGGCAATTGATTCCGATTAGGACAGTTCCTCCTAATGTGAGCAATCTGCCCACAGTGATGGCACTTAGGTCTATAAGGAGCACTCTTGTCACTCCCAGACGAACTACTGCCACCACTGATCATGTCTCCACTAACCTGCCATTGATTACGATTCCTTCTACCACTTCGCTGTGGCCCACTTGAGGCAGAAGGTCCATTAGAAGCAGAAACTCGACCAGCTGCTTCCTTGCTTTGCTGATAGGCCAAGTTATCTTGTTCCACGCTTGTAGCAGCAGCCACCAGGTCTCAAAAATTTTGGATCCTTAGAGCCACCAAGGGTCTCCTTACAGAATTCTTAAGACCTTTCTCAAATTTCGGGCATTTCAAATGCTCATACTCCACCAAAGATGGCGCAAAGCGAGACAAGTCATTAAACTTAGCCTCGTATTCCCTTATCGACATATCACCCTGTTGCAAGGTCATAAACTCCATTGCCTTCTGATCCCTATAGCTCTGAGGGAAGTATTGTTCATTAAAGAGAACATCAAACTGTTCCGAAGTCATGCCCGCAACATCAAGCCTTCTTCTTACTTGCTTCCACCAGTTGCTTGCTTGGCCTTCCATCTTGTACACCGCGAATTCTATCCAATATTCCTTCGGCACTCCCATAGTGTTTAGGTGTTTAACTATGGAGTCAAACCAGTATTCCGCTTCCTGGGGTCCTCCCTCACTATTGAATGTGGGAATAGGTGCACGTTTAAACTCATGGAAGTAACTTTGCTTCTTATCCTCAGCCGGTCGCTCATTCTGGGCTCGAGTGGCTATGCCTCGGAAAGCGGCATACATGGCATCCATGAACTCTTGATTCGGTGGTGCCGGGTTGTTAATTGACCTACGACGCGGCGGCATCTCTTTTAACTGAAAAGAAACTAGACTGTTTAGTGGATTCCTGATGCCACATATGTATGTACAATCTTGTGGTTTCTTAACCTAGGGCTCTGATACCACTCTGTCATGCCCCGGGCCAGGGGTCGGTGACGTGGAGGCTCTATTAGGAGTTAAACATTTAATGATTAAAACCAACAGTGAAATATTAAAGAAATCTCCAAACGAGCCCCACTATTTTGCCGAAAATAAATTACAAGAACATCTCAAGAGGCTAAAACTCCCGCCTCTAACACTATTCAGGGCTACACCCACATAATCTTCAGTATCGTACATACATAGACATGTAAATAACATTACAGACATCAACCACAGTTTAGAAATCCAAATATCAGAGTTTACAGAAATTTCACAATTCTTACATTTATACGCCAAGAGGATGAACACAATCCTCTCTTAACCGGGTGGTAGCAACTCAGCTACTCAACACTGCTCTTAGAGTCGCTTGGGAGGGGGTTAACATTTATAAAACAATAAAACGTGAGCGAAAGGCCCAGTAAGATATATTTTGAAATAACTTTATAAATAAGTAAACAAATAAATAAATGAATAAGTAAATGAATAAATATAGACATTCAGTTCCAACACAACAGCTGGAACCTCACATCCTTTTTCTCAAAGGAAATATAACTGAAAATCTCTGTATTACAGGCATCCGTAAGTAATTTATACTATGCTAAATTACTTACACAACCAAATGCACAAGCTTATCGCCCCAGGCCGGGTTTCGGGTCCTGCCCCCAAGGATGTACTCTCCACATCCTATCTAGGCTATCAGCCGGTTTACTGATTTACAAGATCTCTTGTCTTAAGAAATCATTAATTAAACTTTATGAAACAGTTCATTATACTCCCCAGAATCTACAACAAGCCATGGGGGTTAAAATATTTTTCTTTCGCAAACATGTTCTTTTCTTTAAAACATTTGCAAGGCCAAAACTCTTTTGAAAACATGCTCACAAAGGAAAGGGTAAGAAATCCTACCTCTCAAATACCAAACCTGGCTAGCGTTGTTCTATTCCGGCTTTCGCTTCCTCAAGCCCCTCAATCCGAGTCCTCAACTAGCACTGAAACAAGACAACACTTTAGGATCCAGTTCTCATTCCTGAAGCAATTCAATCTCAATTATATCCTTTGATTTCCTATTAGTGTGCCATAATTCAATTATCGGTTTCATAAACCATTTCATGTTTCAAATCATCATTCCAAGGGTTTTAATTCCAAAACATGGATTAAAGATGCTAATCCATTCACTCTAGGTCTCCAAATAAATCTAATTTGGGTTCTTCTAAAAAATCAGGGTCAAAACAGGGTTTTTTCAGGCAAAACAGGGTCAAACCCCATGTACACCGGTCGACCGGTGACAGAGCAGTGCAACACCACCGGTTGACCGGTGGTGTGCAATTCGGCCGACCGCATAGGTCGACCGGTAGAACCAATGCATTCCGGTCGACCGCACAGGTCGACCTGTGAAGAACAGCATGTGAAGAAAAACCTGCGGAATCAGCCCAAAAACCTACGATTTCAGTTCCAAATCGAAATATCTCAAAGGAAAACCACTAGATCCGGGTTCTAGGTACTAAATCAAGACCAAAGAACACAAGATCTCTAATTTCTACCATGGTTTTACTCAAAATCCATCAAAATCTATTTCGAACCAAAAATAAGTTTTTAAATCTGAAAAACTTGAGATTCAAGAGAGGTTTTCAAAAATCTTATCTCGAATCATTCTCTTAACGTTGAAAACTTTTTGAAATTGTTCGAAATTCGGTTACTTTGGTGAAGATTTGAACGAGAGAGAGGAACGAACAAGAGAGAGTGTGAGGGAAAGGGAGAGTGGAAAACGACAGGAGAGAGAGAGAGAGAATGCACGGGAAGGAAAAAGGAAAAGAAAAGGGAAAATAAAATAAAAAGAAAACAGGTGTCAGAATATTTAAAATGACAGTCCAGAAATGTGCCCATACACACTTCTGGGTAAAATATAAATACTGAGAATATTTAAATACCTTAGAATTATTTAAATTGACATGTCAGAACATTTATTAATCAATAATTAATTAATTAAATCTGATTAGGCATACTAATAAATCTTAATTACTTCAATTAATTTCATTTAATTCTTCAAGGTGTTACAATAATGATCCATGCACAAATACATTCTATTGTTATGTATAAACATCTAATGAAAAGTGTTTTATTATCATCTGAGTGTCATGGTTCTTGAACATTTTTCTTAACAATTTAGTCCCTAAATATCGGAAAAAAAGAAACAACTTTAATTATTAATAGGAGTAAAACTTTAATGAAATTATATGACTAATAAATTCATGACTAAATTGAAAAAAAAATGGAAGAAGGTGTGATATTATGAAAAGTTCAAAAGACAGAGTGCTGAAAATTATAATGAATATGTTTAAGATTTAACTCGGATAATTTTTTAAAGAAAATTATATTAAAAGTGTTTTATTCTTTACTATTGATAAATATTATTTTATTAATGTATTATCCTATTTTTATCAAGATTAAAAGGGTAAAAATTTTGACTCATACACTTCAAAAGATATTTATCAAGATTATCCTTTTTTTTAGTCTACATAGACCACTTTAAAATCTCGACATGTCCAGGATATTACCGACATTTCCACGACATTGTCCATATTTTGAAGTCTCGACGTGGATAACAGAGAGGGTGGAAGATATTCTTGCCGACATGTCCATAAAATGTCCTTAATGTCTTAGAATAACCACAATATCCGTTAATATATTTAAATATCTAAGATATTTTTAGAAATGTCCACAGAATGTCCAATATTAGTGCAAATTTTTTTTTCTTTTTTTAGATAATTTGTATCAGTGGTCCTTTAACTCTTTAATAAGTGACACTTTGATCCTTCTTTTTTTTATTTTGACAAAAAGATCCCTAAACTCTCAAAATATTGACAATTAAGTCCTTTCTGTTTGATTATGTTACCTTTTAAACAGTGTTATACACGTGGCCAACAAGTTTACTCTTTTCTCACCAAAAATACCAAAATACCCATTAATTCTAATTGAGCAAGAAACACAAATATTTTAGGTTTTTTTTTATTTGGGTTTCTTGGGTGGTGGTCTTGGGTGGCTGGAGTTGATGCTAGAGATCGACGAAGAAGATGAAGACGCTCAGCGGAGAGGGTAGGTTTGGGTTTGAGAGCTTCAAGGGGAGGCGCGAATGACGGAGGAAGCTAAACGGGGGGACCTGAAGAAGGTGGAAGAGCAGATATGCGAAGGTTCCATAGAGAAGCTTCCCATTTGGCTGAGTGGCGACGACACTAAGTTTGAGACGGGAAGCATTGGCAGCACTTTTAATCCCCTTCTCAACGCAGAGCCAGAAAGCTGATCATCACCTCATTCAAATTTCGTTTCTTTTGTTACAGAGCAAGGTTAATTTGTGGTTTTTTTTTTTTTTTTTTGACTTTTTTCGATAACCAAGGAAATTAAATAGGTGAATGTTATTTACTCTAATTTATGCTTAGATTGGATTCGAAGTTGGTTTGAAGTGAAACTTGGTTTTTTTATTATAGTTTTTTTTTCTTTTTCTTTTTTGTGGTTATCTGTGAGATGATAGAGGGTTTGGGATTTGAGAAATTAGTAGATATTTAGTTCACAGATTCAGAATCATGATTCAGAATTATTCTCGGTTTATGTGTATTTTTTTATGAGAAAAAATACTGTAACGAATCATGATTCAAATCATAATACGAATCCTTATACCAAACACCCTCTAAAATGTGGGGGATTTGAAGGAGGTGGTGGTGGTGATGACGATGAGTGTGGGAGTGGACAAGTTGGAGTAGCTCGTAATGTGAGCAAGGGGGAGAGAGTGGTTAAAGTTGTTTTTTTTTTCTTTTTTGATAATGTTTTATTTTGGTTTTTGTTAAATTACAGGTTATTGTCATTTTACTAAAATACCCTCCTACAGTAGATCACATGTTTGTCACATGATTGATTCTGTTAAAAAAAAATTAACAAAAAGGGCTTAATTGCCAATGTTTTAAGAGTTTGGGAAATGTTTTGCCAAAATTAGAAAAAAGGACCAAAGTGTCACTTATTAAAGAGTTAGGGGACCACTAGAGCAAAAAAAAAAAATTTGTAACAATTTTGTAACAATTTTTTTTTTCTATTTTTTGCATAAAAATTAATTTTGTAACAAATTTTTTTCTATTTTTTTCAATAAAATGAGACAATATGACTCAAATCAAAAAGTAATAAAAAATTACTAAGACTCAATTAGATTTTAAATAATTTCAATTAATATTCAAAGATTAATATTTTAATCGTACTGACCACTAGGCAACGTCCAAAATGTGATTCTTTAGTCTTTAGCTTTCTCTTTTTCAAAGAATATGTTCATGAAGTATTCACATTTCCTTCTGCTAGTATTAACAATTTACGGGGTTAACAGTGGAAAGAAATCAAGAAACATACATATGACACATTAACAATTATATCTAAAACTATTTAAGGGTAATATTTTGGTAAATGTATTGTTTAGATTAAAATCTGAATCTATCTGATGTTTTTTAACCTACTTGAAACTTGTTCTGGTGTTAAAAGCACTTAAAGCTTGTGTGACCTCTATTATATTTTATAGTTAATTTTTATGTAATATATTTGTATCATTATACATTATTTGTAATGAATATTTAAAATTATATTGGAATTATAATTTATGGATAATTATAATAATTTCTTATTATACTACTCTACATAAATCTCATATTTCGATAAAAAAAACATATTATTTTTGTTATTAAATTACTTCAGATTAAGTAATATTAATTGTTAGGCTTTTTAGCATTTTGTACATTTTGAACAAAAAATTTGATCTTTTTTCGAGATATATATATATATTTTTGAAATATCCGTCTCGATATTTTTGTGGACATTATCTATAAATCAAAACCTGAAAAATGCCGACATTTTCGTCTTAGGCTACAATACAACAGCATATTTATCCCATGTCATTTAAAAAACTTTTTCTCATCATAAGAAAAAACAAAAGAAGATAATTTATCCCATTGGAAGGGAGACAAGGGCGGGGCCCCACCTTTCCCACGTTATTTTGTTTTATTTCATTGACTTTTAGACTCTTATGAATCACGCAAATTGAATAAAATCACATGTAAAAAATAAAAATCAAAGAAGAAAACACCACGTAAGTTATAGCTTGTGGCAGAATCCACGGCACTCTATTGAAAAGGTGTTCGTTGACCGTCACCCAGTTAAAACGTAAGATAATTGGTGTGGATGGTTCCCGAATTTTTTTAAGTGACCGCATAATTGTGAAATCATGTCGCGTTTGAAATTTATTTTAAAATAATTTTACTTTTTATATAAAAATAAAAATAAAAATGTTTTTATTTTTATTTTAAAATTATTTTTAAATATGCATTTGATAGTTTTATTCTGATATTATTTTTAGTTTAAAAAAATTAAAATTATGTTTGGTAGTTTAATTTTTAAAACTATGTAATAATATTTAAAATAATAATATATTAAATAAATAATATTATTAAATATATTAAATAAATATTGTCGTTTGTATTAAACGATAGTGTTCAAGAGTATTAACAAAAAGAGTATACATGAAAACCAAAGAGATAATCACAAAAAAAAAAAAAAAGATCTGAAGCGAAAATGAAAAATGAAAATGAAAAGGGGAAAACGATATTGTATCGTTTTCAAAAACCTGTACAAAGAAGATAAATGGAAAAGACCATTTTCTGTCTTGTTTTTAAGTAAATAATGCACCAAACGTGTCTTTCAAACTAATTTCATTTTCAGCACCTTGAAAAATGGGAAAAACGTTTTCAAAAACGATATCAAACGCGCCCCATGTACTTTTCTCATCTTTTTAAATTTGAAATAAACACAAGAATTTTAAAATGAGTTGTAAATTTAAAACTCCGAAAAAAGCAACCACTGTGAGTCTCGCGCTACAGTTCTTGGATGGACAATCTATCCATGAGTTTTTTTTTTTTTTTTTTTTTAATGCTAGAAATCTCCAAATCAAATTTAAACTGTTTTGACATTGTTTGTTTAAGAAAAAAAATTATACATATTTTACCTATATTTATTTTGTAGGAATTTAGTTTGTTTTATGGGAAAATTTAAATTTTTAAGCATAAATTCTAACTTTTTTTTTTGTTTCAAACTAATAAATCTTAGGTCGGCCATAAATATTATGAATTTATAGTGGAGATTATGATAGATAAAGAAGAGATGCTCTCTCCACTTAATAAGAATTCGCTCAATTTTGTCACCGCTTTTCTAAAGTGACAATCGGGTAGGCATGGAATTCTTTTGGGGGCCGACAGGAAACTTCATCCCTATATCAACCTACAAAGGAATAGTCATTAAAAAAAAAAAAAAAAAAAGTGCACAAGGTCAAAATAGATTGCGTCTTAGGCGATACCTCCCCAATTGAGCCAATTTGATTCCGCACGCAGATTTGTTTGGAGGTGTCCGATCCCCACTATATATACGTCTCTGTGAACACAGAATTTGGAAATGTAATAAAGCACAAGAAAATCTTAAAAGCTTAGCCAGAGAGGAAGAAGAAGAAGAAAAAGAGAAGAAAAAAGCAAAAATGGCGAAACTCGGCGGAATCCAAGACAAGGGAAACGAGAACGATCTCCACATCGAATCCCTCGCTCGTTTCGCCGTCGGCGAACACAACAAGAAAGAAGTAGCTTTTTTTTTTCTTTTCTCGCTAATCAAACTCGTAGATTTTGAAATTGATCGATCGATTGGTTGATGGTTTTTTTTCTTGTGATTTGTGAAGAATGCGGTTCTGCAATTTGTGAAAGTTGTGAAAGTCAAAGAACAAGTTGTTGCCGGTACGGTCTACTACATAACCTTGGAGGTTCTTGATGGCGACAAGAAGAAGCTGTACGAGGCCAAGGTTTGGGAGAAGGCATGGCTGAATTTCAAGGAGGTTCAAGAATTTCACCCTGTTGTTGATGACTCTGCTCAGTCCAGCGCTAATTGAGCTTCGTTATCTCGATCGAGGTACTAGTTAAGCTTTATTGTGACTATGTTTCTACGATTTTTGTTTTTGTTTTTGTTTTTGTCGTTTTCTACGTTGTTTGATTATTCGAAGATCATAAAGAGGACTAAAGGGAACTAAAGAAAAAAAATGGTTTTTTTTTTTTTGCTTTTGGATGTTATTACAGGGTTAATATGAAACGTAAAACATTAACATGATTTGTAAAATATAGGGGCTTATATGTGTAGCATTCTTTAAAATATAAGGTGAAATACAGCATTTGGATAAAATAAAAGGGAGGTTTATGTTAATTAACCCCTATAGGTTAACTGTTACAAATATAATGCACAATTTGGGCTTTTATTTTCTTATTTGAGAACAAAAGGAACTAGCAAATACGCTTATAATATGGTCAAAGTGCCATCTGTGAATAGGTTCTTCTAAATATTCATGCAAATCAATCATCAGTCTTGGTTTTAGTTTTATAAGTTCTTTCATCACCCTTTTTTTGCCTGATGATGTCTGGTTTTTGCAATGTCTGAGATGTTTATACGTGAGTCGCTTTACGAGAAGAACTACATGCTGTCTGATAATCAATATGGTAGTTCTCGAAATTTGATTCTAAAACTTTGGCATTTTCTTGTCAAACTAAGATGACAAAGGTTCCAATAGGAGAATGAAAGGGTCATATCATAGAAAATAATTGATAGCAGACCTCTTATGTAGACATAAAACGAAGCGTTTTACTATGAAAAATGGATCACGATGGAGTTAAAAATGGGGGCGTAGTTGGGGACAATTTCAGAATTTGGTTAAAAAGAATGTGGTTTAATGCCAATGTGAATGGCTTGTGGCAAATTGTTCATTTAGCTTAGAAAGAATGTGGTTTCATTGGGTGAGGCTAATATGCAATGGACAGAAGAATGTCGTATGAGTTGATTATTTTGTGATAATTCCATAGAAGGCTTGACAAGCTTCGAGTTAGATAACTTCATTTTACCCGAAAAATTTGAATGAGCACCATAGAAGGTCAGGTCACGGTCCATTTATGCCTTTGCGCATCATTTTTGTAAGTCGTATAGTTCATTCACCATGATATATGATGCTAATGGTGTTTTCGTTATGAGTTTCAGGTGACTGCGAATAAAATATAATTCTCTAAGCTTGGTTGAGCTCTTCACATACGAGTATGTTCCATGCTAGATAAATGGAGCCAAATTCTTCTCCAAGTTTGTATTTATGCTTATATTGTGCAAGACACGTGGATAAGTATTTTTAATCTATGTTGAAACTGTTGGAATTCAGTACCTGTATAATTAAGGAGTACATTATAATGTAACGTTATTTTATAATATGCAGCTTTATTATTATTGTTGTTGTTGTAATTGTTATTGTTATTATTATTATTATTATTATTATTCTTGTTGGTGTTGTACTGTTGTTGTTGTTGTTTAAAAGGCCTTCTTTTGAGTACCCTTTTTGTAATCCGAAGAGAGAACCTCTTTTCAACGAGATTCCTCTTTTCAACAGTGCAGATCCGCATGGTTGGTTGTTCTGGCTTGAACGATACTTCCAGGTTAAAGGCGTTGACGACGCAGAACGGGTGGCGGCGGCCGTGATTGGACTAGAAGGAAGGGCGTTGAACTAGTTCCAATGGATGGAATCCAAATTTGGTGTTGTGGATTGGCCGACCTTCAAGGAATCTATGCTACAAAGATTCCGATCATCTCAAACTGGAAATCATTATGAAGCTCTGATCGGCTTTCGACAAGAATCATCGGTGGCAGAATTCCGGGAGAGGTTCGAGTAGGGGTGTTCGTCAGTTAAAAACCGTCGGTTTTGGTCGGTTCGGTGGCCGAACTGACCATGTCGGTTTTTTGAAAGTTGGAACCGAAACCGAACCGCACCTAATAGTTTTCGGTTCGGTTAACCGAACTTCGGTTTTGGTCGGTTTTGGTCAGTTTTCGGTTTTGGTAATCAGGAAGATGACCTCAGTTAACTATCAAGTTACCAGCATCTTTAATTGCATTTTTGACCCGCAAGTACGAAAAAATGTAAAACTTTTCTTCAATGCAAAGTTGCAAACATGTAATCACAATAAATGAATACAAATCACAACATCAAAATTGATAATTGCACAAACACAAGTTTAAAAAACATTTAAATTGTCATAAGTAAAACAAAACGAAAACATAAAAAAAAAAAAAAATCCCATCTCGGTCGGTTTGGTTTTGAACCGACTCTCTACACGCAAAATTGAAACCGAACTGACTATGTTCGGTTCCATGTGGCACCATCGTTTTTTATTTTGAGCGGTCAGTTTTGGTTTTACGGTTTTTTTGTACACTCCTAGGTTCGAGCTACTCTCGGCTCCTTGAGGGAGGCAGATGAGGAGTTCTTGATCGGAGCTTTCTCGAAGGGATTAGCTGATGAAATAAAAGCTGAAGTTCGAATGGTGAAGGCTGTGACCTTTGTGCAATTGATGGACTTGGCCCAAAAGGTTGAGAACAAAAATTGGGCTCTTGAAGGGGCCCAAGTGGGGTGGTTTCTAACACACAAACCGACTGGGGAGAGGGCTGGACTGAATGGGGAGAGGGCTGAAATTTTTAGGGATTATTATGGGCCACAAAAATCTGCGGTGGGCGAAAGTTTTGTGAGTGGTTTAGCTGGACACCACTGAAATTTTCAAGAAACACTAAGGGACGTTCGGAGATGACACGTGCCAGCTCTATTCATTCTAGTGTGTCGGTCAACAAGGATCTTAATGGGCCTGTTTATTTGCATTTTCGTTTTCGTTTTTCACGGTTTTCAAAGTAAAAAAATGAAAACGGGTGTTAAAAACGTGTTTGGTGTAATTTTTTAAAAAAAATAAAACAAAAAACGTTTGTCTTTTTGTGAAAATCAGAAAACGAAAAAAAGGTGTTTTCATTTTCTCGTTTTCGTTTTCTGTTTTTTAAAAAACGGATTTCACTTTTTTTTTTCTTTTTTATTTTCTTCCCTTTTTTCTGAAACCGTTTTTGTATTATATATGTTTATTTAATATTATTATTTAATATATTATTATTTAAATATTATTTATTTAATATATTTAATATATTATTTATTTAATATATTTAATATATTATTTATTTAATATATTTAATAATATTATTTATTTAATATATTATTACATGTTTTCAAAAATTAAACCACCAAACGCAGTTTCAGTTTTTTTTAAAACTGAAATCAATCTCTAAATAAAACTACCAAACGCATTTTTAGAAATAATTCAAAAATGAAACTAAAAATATTTTCATTTTCATTTTCGTACAGAAAATAAAAACGTTTTGGAATCAATTCCAAACGCACCAATACACTTCCTTCCCATTCTACACGGAAAAACGACAGCCTCAGAAGGACCATTTCAAATGCTGAGATGCAGCGATGACGGGAGAGAGGTTTATGTTTCTAGTGTGAGGAAAAATGGCAGTTCGGCCACGTCTGTTAGAATCCTCAACTGCAGGTTATTATCACTGCAGTGGATGAAGACGATGGGGAAAGATAATGATGAGAAACCAGGCCAAGGGCTGCTTGTCTATACTCGGAAGAAGAAGCGTTATATTAGTAATTAGGCTAGGCCGATGTGCTGATGTGGCTTTTGTAACTTATTCGGTTAGTTGTTAGCTTGAAAGTTAGTCTGTTAGCAAGAAAGAATTGTAAATAGGGATGATGAGTGAATAAAGCTGGGGAGACTATAAATATGAGGGATCGGGAGAGGTTAGCCAGTTTTGGGAAAAGTAGAGAGTTTGGAGTGGAGAGTCGGTGATCTCTCGAACATCACCATTGTAGAGCCTTAGATTTCTTGTGGTTCTCATTCTTTCGTTTCCTTTTCTATCAATTTGTTGTGTTTTCTATCAATTTGCAATTCGCTACCCATAGCAGAGACTTCTTATGGGCATGAATGCTACCCATAAGAGCTGAAGTGGAATAAGATTTTTCAAAAAAAAAAAAAAAAATCCTCTTTTCTTTGGGTTTTGATTTTTGAAAAAAAAAAGTTCATTTATTTAATTTTTAATTTTTTTTAAAGTGAAGCATTTTTATATTTATTTTTACGCTTTTTTTATGAATTTATTTTTACACTATACACTCACAATTCACTGTTCAAGCTACAGTAACATTTCTTAAAATTTTGCTTCTCTCACTTGTCATTTGAGTGTGAATTGTTAATTTTGCCTTTTTTTCTTCTCTTTTTCCTTCCCTACTCATGAGCTTTTGCGTCTTTCGCTCGTGAGTTGCCACGTGTTGTGGTCTACCACTGCGCAACTGCCCTCTTCTCTCCTGCTAAACGCGCTTCTCTTGCGCGTGCTTTTTACGCACGAATCACAATCGTCGAGCTTGTGAAGAATGCACTCCATTTTGAAGAAATTGTTTCTGGAACCACTTCGGGTTCTTACTCATATAGATGTGAAAGTGGAGGATTTGCCGAGCAGGCTCGTACATAAATAGTTGAAAATTTGGTATCATTTTGTGCGGGCACAGGAACACGAGATTTCTGATCTAAAACCCTTCTTTACTAGCACTCACTTCTCTAGAGCCAATTCTGGTTTGGACGAACAGCCAGTAATAAGGCATCGCCTAATGAGAATGAGATGATTATTCTGGTGTATGCATCATGAATACTTTGATTAATATTTTCAACTGAAGATCCGAGCAACATTTAGTAGGAAAAAAATTGCGAAGTTTTCCAGTACCAAGCAACATTTAGCAACTGGGCCCCAATTGGCAACATGTTCTGATAACAAGAGTTATGCTTCTACTCTTACCATACTAGTGAGTACTTAGCCTTGTCCAAGTACTCTTTTATATCAACTATTTACATTAAGAAAAATGTCATACAAATTACAGCAGCGTACAATTAGAGTTTTAATAAGAGCTTCCGCCTGCTTTCTAGCAGAGGAATTTTAAAAGTTTCATCGTATATTGGCCTCTAATGTTCATATAACCAATCTAAGTTTTTGAGCAATTTTCCCATCACTGTCAAACCGACTAGAGATCACCTTACTCCTGCTCATCTGGGAAACGAAATAGAGATATAACTTTTTTTTTTTTTTTTTTTTTTTTGGCGCCTAAGATAAATTCAACTTGTTAAACCAGTGAAGATTGCAAAACGCAATTATATAGTTTAAAGATTCGTCTACTGTTTCACGTCTTATAGTAAGTTTGTATGGCACTGTATCATGCTGATTTTTGCATATTAAATTCCATATAATACTGGACAAATTGATTACGAGATGTCAAACAAATCTTAAATTGAAAAAATAGTATGCAGCGTTTGCTTGATTGATGCAATTGGTAATGGGATAGCTTTCAAAAGAACTGGGAAAAATACAAAAAATGGAAAAAAAAAAAAGGCAACCTATCAGACAACTGTGTGACCATCCTGGCCAGCGAGGCTGACCGAGAACGATCCTCTACAGCTGGGATGATTCGGAGATCATCAAGCCGTTAATCACACTTTGATCACATGGTCATGAGACATCCTGTTCAAGTCAGGATCCCATTTGGCGTCTTTATTAATGTTTCACTAGAATGAATTTAGGTTGCTTTCTATTCAACTGATAGAAAATCGTTAAAACAAATTGTAATGGCTACCCATAGGAGAGACTTTTTATGGGTATGAATGGTATTCAACATTAATAGTTAAAACTGAAAATTAGACACCACAGATAACATTGACCACTGAAAAGTTAAAAAACTTTGTTATAAAACTTGGCAACAGTTGAACAAATTCAAGGACTTTCATTATGGGTATGAATGGTATTCAACATTAATAGTTAAAACTGAAAATTAGACACCACAGATAACATTGACCACTGAAAAGTTAAAAAACTTTGTTATAAAACTTGGCAACAGTTGAACAAATTCAAGGACTTTCATAATGCCCGAGAAAAAACAAGCTTAAAAAACAAACCAAAACATAAAGATTCTAGTCTCTAACGTTGCCTAAAATGGTGTTTCTTTTCTTCATCTGACCGGATAAGCTTTCAAAAGAACTGGGAAGAAAATACAAAAAATGAAAACAGAGCAGGAAAAAAAGAGAGCAAAGAAAAACCCGTCAGACAACCGTGTGACCATCCCAGCCAGCAAAGCTAACCGAGAACGATCCTCTACAGCTGAGATTATCCGTGAACCATCAACTGTTAATCACGCTCTGATCACACGGCCGTAATTCATCCACCAGGTTGAGGTTCCTGTCTCCTTAGAACTCAAGAATACAGAGGTACGAGCCTATAGAACAGATCCTGTTCAAGTAAGATCGTGACTTAGGCTCTTCACAAACATTAATATAAATCGCTCGTCTCTGTAATCAACTTTAGATGTGGGACCTTTCTAAGACGCGTGTTCGTATTCCCTCGGACGTCAAAGGCAACGTCCTTGGTTTCTTTGGGCCTTTTTCAGTATTGTCTATTCAATTGATTTGCTTGGCCCAAACCTTGGACTGTACCAAACAACAATAATTCCGTTGGATTTGGTAACTTAGGACACAAATTCATTTCGTAAGTGTGTTTTGGGATGGGATGATGGTTATTCTTAAAGAATAGTGCTGCGACACATACTCAAATTTTAATTTTAATTAATGTGATGTGTGAGTTATTATTTTTATATTAATAAGTGTTTAAAATATTATTACGTAAATTAATGATGAGAGATTGCATCTACTAATAAAAAATGAAAACAACTCATATGTCACATCAGTTAGTATATAAGAATTAAAATTTTAATTAGTGTCCTTAGCATTGCTCTATTCTTAAATAACTCCATGATGTTTTTTTTTTTCCGCTGAAATTATTATTCTACAAGTTGAAGAAGTATTTATTCTACCCATATCAAGGTTAGCGATGGTAAACGGTAAACCCACTTGCTAATATTTTAACTATAAATTATGTAGCAGTGAACTTCAACAAATTATTAATTTTGTTATTACCTGCAAATTATGAACAATATGGACAACAAAAATATTTGAAAACCAGTTAGCATTCTCGACCAAATATGTACATAAGATATTGGAATTTGATCAAACTAATAGGATAATTAGATGAGGAGAGCGCCAACCATGAAATAAAGCCAAAAATCAATGAGGACTTGAATCATTCACCAACTTTTCGCAACATACATGATACATACCCCAGAGAAGAGAACGTTCGCACAGTACACAACTTTTTCACAACTTTTGTTAAATAGGTTCAAAAAGTTATGGATCCCCATTTTCTTTTCTTTTTTTTTTTTTTTTTTTTTTTGTTTTGTTTACAACTAAGTGCTCATAGAATACGATTTTTTGTTTTTTTTTGTTTTAATGAGCTTACTTTATCAATAGATGATAACTTACTATGTGCTAAATGAATGGTGCTAGAGACAAACTCTAAGTTCATATATTTTATACCAACTCACGTAGTATAAATTCTCATCTTTTTATTATTAGAGTTACTTGTTATTAATTAACGTAACAATATTTTAAATAATTGCCAATAAAAAAATAAAAACTCGCATGTCACGTAAATTGATAAAAAAAAAAAAGATTAGAACTGGTTCCTAGTATTATTCATGCTAAAATATTATTGAAACTTTGATTACTGTTTTTTTTTTTTTTTAATATAATCTGACTACCGCTTAATGTGGCAATTGACATTATTTTAAAATTAATTAGGTACAACATGTGTATAATAAATGGGATAAATATAAAAGTATACCCCGTAGTGTCACTTTAAAACGAAAAAAAAAAATGATAAATTACATAATAATTAATGAGATTAATAATCAATATTATCCCCTCCCAAAAGAAAAAAAAAATGATATTAAAAAAGACAAGCACCTATACGACAAACTTAGGTTCCGTTTGAAAGATAGTTCAAATCCACCTAGTTTTGCTTCACATCTATACTCAACTATATCTTCAACAAAAGAACTATGTACCTACAAGAGGTCAGTCATTAGCTTCACTATTCTTTGGTCAATTAACCTTCTTCATCGTAATCTTCATCATCTTCGTCCAATCTCCTATTTAAGTTGGCCAATTGTAAGGGATCAATGGACATGTTATCCACATCGGCCAATGACCAACCGGGGTATTCCTCGTGCTTCATTTCGGGCGTTAACTGCGCGGATGAACTAGTAGGGGCAGCGGCTGATAGGGATGTTGAGTCCCCAGTGTCATCTAATCTCACATTCAAGTCGAAGTTTCGGATGGGAGCTTCGGCATTTCGCTGACCTGCAATATTCTCCTTTGGCCCTTCAGGCTCTTCCCTATGATCCGGGGTTTCAGGGGTTTGATCATTAAACTCATTGTGCTTGGAAATGTCTGCGTCATCTTCAAACTTGTCATGATGTGTAGCTGTCTCCCTCTCTACCATTCGACTACCTCGTCCGCGACCTCTACCTCTGCCCCTACCCCGTCCTCTGCCACTGCCACTACCGCTAACATGGCCAGCCTCATGCTGCTCATTTTGATTTTTTTTCATTAAAAAAAAGTCAGTTCTGTATGTAAAGGTAGACGGATTAACAAGAAACAAAAACAATTGGATATCAGTCTGATCAAAAAATAGAAGAAACTTGGAACTTAGATGAATTAAGAAGCACTAGCGGTTTTGAGCGACCCCAAATGACGGGAAAAATTAGAAACTGATATATTCAATGTATACACACTTTTGTAATCCATTGATTCAAGTATTTTTGTCTCTCACCGTTTGATCCAGAAACTAGAAAAATGAGTTGGTTCATGTTTGCTTTTTGACTCAAAATTGAAACAAGTTCATGAGCCTTTGCCGTTTCAAAGTGTCAAAGAAAGTTATAGGAAGTGAACCAGTGTAATTCTGTACGCTGCAACACAGCAGAAAGATGAGCCCTATGCAAACCTGAGTACTATAGTCACAGTTTGGAACATTACCATTTTATTCCTCTTGGACTCCTCGTCGCTATCATTGTCCTCACTATCAACAAATTTCCTGAAAGATCATAAATTTTAATGCGTTTCAAGTTATGACAAATGTCAGATTTTTTAGGCCACTAATAAGAAGATCAAAGTTGACATTTCACGGACCTTCTTTTGGTAACGGACCGATCCTCACCAGCAGCATCAGACCCACCTAAGTCGGGAACTTTACTAACAGCATCCTTTAGAAAATCAAAAACATTGAACGTATGCACACACTGTTTTCTGCACATTCAACCAATTTATAGTACCTGTGTCAAATATTCTCTCTTTGAGCAGGTTCTGAAATAAATGCTTAAACAAAATCTCTAGATAAAAACTTTCTTGAAAGAATCGCCACTATTAAGAATTCAAGTGAAGTCCCTCACATCATCGGATCAAGAATATGGAAAAAGAAGAGAAATCCTCACTAAAAAAAAAAAAAAAACCCCCCAAAAAAAAAAAAAAAAAAAAAAAAAAATAATAATAAAATAAATAAAAAATACTAAAAAATAAATAAATAATTAATTATATCTCAATTCAAATGGCAAGACAGATAGACAGAAAAAAATAGTCAATTAGAATTTTACTCACAAATGCAAAGAATTCATTGTCTTTGCTCCTCTCTTCAGAGTTATATCATATGTCCGATGGCAGAGATCTTGTAGAAATAGTTCCAAAGCTTTAGCTGCATGAAGAATACAGAAAGCTGTAATTATAACAACTAAGGGGGAAATAGCAACGACAAAAACCAGAACAGGTACAACAAATGACGCTTCTGGAAGAGTAAATGAAATCACTTGATGCAGCCGAAAGGGAAAAAAAAAAATATCATTGATATAAGATCCCTACACAAGGTATTTGAGTATAACTTACAAACTAGAAGAGGCACAGCCATTGCAATCTTCCCAACGTCCTCATCTGCTTGCATAATCTTCTTGATCCGGGCCTGTAAAAATGATTGTAATGCAATGTAGTCAAATACGCAAGTAACCGAAATCATAGAAAGTAAATGATTCACCTCTCAAAACAACCTTGAAACTAGCATAACAGCTTATTCTTGACCAAAAATAAAGAAAAGATACTAATCAAATAAGGGAAGGAAAACCAAGGCCAGGTATTAACATTCGATATAAGTAAACTCCAACTTAAAGCACTTTTCTTCTGTTGAATACAACTTTTGATGTGCTGAGCCCAACCCCCCAACAACCAAAACAAAAACAAACAAAAAGGAAAAACAAGAAAAGATTTTGGAAAAAAAGATAAGTTTATAACTCATATTGTGGGAAAATTACTGAATAGCCTCACTTGCAAAAAGCACAAAACATGCAGGCTTAAGACATAAACTCCCATATTGCAGTAGGGTCCTATGATGCCCCAAGTTGGGCTGTATGGAAATACGTTCTTATCTGTAGAAATACACACGAGACAGAAAGATACAACTCCCAATACCATACCTAAAAATACGATAAAAATCCTTGTAACGGAAGCGGACTCTTATATTATTGTTGAGACAATCTCAGAAAGAACCATTACACAGACAAACTAGACACAAACTTTGAATACGCTAAAGCTGGGAAGGTAAAAATATCTACATATATGTTCAAACAAAGTGACAAAAATCGACAAAATGTTGCAAGCTTATGCATATGGACGTGCAGGTGGTGAAAGTAAAATAACAGAAAAATCAATTTCATACACTTGAAATAGCCAAAATAATGAGTCTATCCTATGTTTGATTAACCAAATCGACAAACAACTATGCAGCTTTTTTCTCTATTGAGTATTTTTATTAATTCCAAGTATTTTTCATCGTTGGGTCACTTAACTGGATTAAGGATAATGCAAGATAAATCAAACTTAAAGCAATAGGCTTGTTTTCAATTATAATTTGCCACATAAAAAAACTTGGAAATATACACAACCATGAGGGAACAATTTAATGAGAATTATTACTCATTGAAAAGCATATGGAAGATCGACAATTTGATAAATGTTCTTCTACCGAAGAGAGGTATTTCCTAGTCAAATACTCAATTATCTAAATAGAAGATTATATGCAATAAAGCTGCTTAAATTTTAGTCAAACGTTTGAGTTACAGTATCATAATGATTACAAGGACCATTGTTTCAGGAACCTCTCAAAAAATGGTTCATAAGGTGCAAGAAATCGAATTGAACATGCTAATAGGGGGGACCCAGGATTTTTCCCCAAGCAGAACTCATAAAAGGACCAAAAAAACTGCAGGGTTCTCGTTGAAGAACTTTAACACCAATCTACTCTATCTAGATTCACATATAACAAACATACTTCCTTAACCAAAGAAAAGGACGTTCAAAGAGAGAGAGAGAGAGAGGGTTCTCGTTAAACAGGACGTGTTCTCTAAATAAAAAATAAATATGATTTTACAAAGAGGAAGAGTTCTCCTTAAACAGAGCAGATAACTAAATCCTCCAAAGAGAAGCTTTTCTACACAACAAACTAGTTACACAGCTAACAAATAATCAGAAACGGAAGGGAAGAAATAGCATTTAAAACTGGCAGTATTACCACAAATAAACGCTATTTAGCAGTTACAAGTGTTGTATGTACTGCTTCACCAACATCTAATCAAATATTAAACTATAATCTAGTACAATCAAATTGCCACTAATCTGGCAACCTTCTTTTAAATTTTAATCCCCCTTAATAACAAAAAGCAACCAAAAGAGTTGTCAAATGAGTCATGACGTGCAACTATTTAATTAGACACAATCTAGCACGATGTTGTAGCAGAAAAAATTAAATTTAAATTTTTATGAAAAAAACTCTACAATAAAAAATTGAGTTATAATTTAAACTAGTGAAATGAATGGGATGCAGCTATTTAATTAGACACAATCTAGCACAATATTGTAGCAAAAAAAGTTAAATTTAAATTTTTATGAAAAAAAACTCTATAATAAAAAATTGAGTTATAATTCAAACTAGCGAAATGAACGGGATGCAACTATTTAATTAGACACAATCTAGCACGATGTTATAGCAGAAAAAGTTAAATTTAAATTTTTGTGAAAAAAAACTCTACAATAAAAAATTAAATTATAATTCAAACTAACAATTCAAATTAGCGAAATGAACGGAGAACGGGACTACCTCCAATAGAGTCTAGGTTCAATTCTCCGAGTTGCCTACCTAATGGATAAACACAAGATTCATGATTTCCAATTTCTGGTTAAACAAAAAAATAAAGGTAGGGTTGTAGCCAATTTTTTTTTTTTGTTTTGGTTTTTTAATAACACAGTAGAAGGTTGTAGTATTGTACCTAGTAATTAGAGATAAAAGACCAATATTTGAAGAAAGCGGCAAAAGTACAGCTATAGAAGTCGACAACCACGGGCAAAAAAGTACAGCCATAGAATTTGACAGCTATGAATTTATCAATCAAATAAAAAAAAAAAAAAAGCTTTTAACTCATTAACCATGCATAAACAAACACCATAGACCCCAAAACCCAAAAGGCTATTATTATTATTATTATTATTATTATTATTATTATTGTCATCAATCTTTATACACACAATATCATATCCCTTGGTATTTCCTTCACTCATTTATAGTACCCAAAAAAAAAAAAAAACACAGAAACCATGAAAGAAGAGGAATAACTTACGGCTGGAAAACGAGTATCGAGCTTCTTCCTCATGTTGTCAAACGATGACCATGAAACGAACAAAAAGAAGAGAAACTCCAAAACAACAAACCCTAAAGAACAAAGTCCTCCTTCAGCTCCGAACGCATATATGTATATATGGAAACGAAAAGAAAGACGGAAAAGGAAGAATATAAAGAGAGGATTCCCTCGCGCTCTCGTTTTTTCTTCTTCTTTTTCTTTTTCTTTTTCTTTTTTAAAAAATTAAAATTAAAACAAAAACCGTTCGGTTTAAAGGACAGAACCCACTAAGCCGAAGACGTGCCACAACACTCTCCCACTCTCTGTTTTTTTCTTCCCCCCTCTTCTCTTTTTTTTTTTTTTTTTTTTTTTTTTGGAAGTCTAATGATTTTCCATTTCCTCTCTCTGTTTCTTTTTATTTTTTAATTAATATTATTATTTTTTCTTGACTATTTTAATTCGTCTCTTTTGGGACTCGTCACATTGTCGTTATCCATTTGGTCTCCCTCTGACTTTCAGGCTGCCACGTCGGCAAACATATATTTGGTTTTCACTTTCCTTGCTGTCCTTTCCTTCTTTTTTTTTTATTTATTTATTTCGCTTTTATTTTTTTTCTTGGAAATATATAATATCTATATTTATATGTTTCTATGTGTATATAGGAAATGTTTCGTCTCATGTGTTTATATTCTGTTTGTTTAAGTTTAGCATTTAAATAATATAGTTTAACACATATAAAATTAAATATAAAATTTAAACAAATTGAATATTGCACACACAATATGTTGCACGAAAAAAAAAAAAAAAATTACATTTACTAGACTATATAAGTGTGGAGGATCGCAGTGTAAAACTACTCCACATTGCCTTTTTAGAGATGTTTGTTATTTTTTGTTTTTTGATTTTTTTAATTTATCCCTAAAGTTATATATATTTTCTTTATAATCCTTCGACGCTAAGATTTAAATTTAGTGGAGGCTTAACTAAAGACACTTTATAAACTAAAATAATAAAATAGAACTTTTAATATCGCTTAATAAAGAAATGTATTACAACTGTTCTAGATGAGTTTTCATGCTTTAAAATCATTATAAATTAACTTCATTATTAGAACTAATTAAATCATATTATAATTATAGGACAAAATACCTATTATAGAGGCTTTTAAAAAAATTACCTTATTATAGAAAAAGGAGAGAAACGTGTAACTATAGAAGTAATTAGTGAAACAATCGGAGCGAAAAGAGAAACGGAGGGAAAAAAAAAAAAAAAAAAAAAAAAAAAGATGAAGGAAAAACTCTAGGAGTAAACAAAAAGAAAATGAAAATAAACACGAAAGAAGGATTAAAGAAGGTCACTTGTGAGGCACCTAATTAAAAAAACTATGTATAAACTTTTAACAAACCATAAAAATTATCTAACTATATACGTATATCTTTTAATTATTTAGTGAGGGTATGTGCCCCGCTACTTTATACCAGACTTCATACTTGTTAGCATTGGCATTAGGGATGAGTAATTTACGGTATCCACATCGAATGGGGTGGGTATGGAGGTTATTAAATGAGGATGGAGGCAGGTATAAGGTTTATATTGTTCCCCGAATCGGAAGTGGGATGGGAGCGGGGAAGTACCTCCACCCCTACCCCACCCCGACCCGATATACATACATGTATTTTTAATACAAATATATTATAATAGTACTTAAAAATATAGGTTTTAAAAAAATCAAAAGTATTTTACTATTTTAACATCTTAAAAAACCCTAATAATTCGTAAATTTAAAAGATATTACTGCTATGTTGATCAATTTTACATTTAATTTGTTGGAATATATTTTTTCTTATCGGGTAACTAGGTAAGGTATAGAGAAAGCCTCCATAATGAGAATTTTCCAACTCCGACTCGGACTCCAAAGACGCAGATATGTGGGTGGGTATGGAGGCAATGGTGAAAATGGAGGCGAAGGTGGAGGGAGAATATTCGATCCCATTCTGCCGGATACTCATCCCTAACGGACATTTGTCTTTAGAGCTTGAGTTGGTATTCTTTTCTTATCATTTATGGTATTGCGAGGAATAAAGTAGTTTTTGGCGAGATGAATTAATTTAAGTCTAAAATAGAAATTTAATCTCTAATGGATTTAGAGAAAAAGTTTCCCGCCAAATATTTTCATCTTTAAAATCCATTTTCGGAGATGAATTATAATATGTCTTTAAAATATATGAGAAAAACGATCATAAACAAAATAAAATTTATCTCTAAATTCATTGAGCTTTATTTAGAGACAAAATTTCGATTCGTCCCTCTATTGACTTGGTGTCAAATTTTTTGTTAACTTTTATTACTACTTTTTGGGCGGGAGTCACAGAATATTAATTGAATACAAATTTGCATTTTTAGACGTGACATGTTTATGTAAAATAATCCTCACATGTAAAACGACATGCTTTAAGAAAGCGTTTTCTTTTATTTTTTATACTCAAAATCGCGTTTGAAAAAAGTTAGATATTATTAGTTAATAACGCCTGTATATTCAAAAAAAAAAAAAACCCTACAACAAAATGGAACTTCCACAAGCTCTATAGATATGATTCTACTGCGAAATTAAAATTAAATTTCAGATAAGTTGACAAATATACCTGCAGAAATTATCATTAAATGTACCTTATTCAGATCTCTTTAGCACACCGCGCAAACGTTCAACAACATTTTAAAATAGTGACCATACGACTTTAGATTTAACGATGCTTTTACTATTTAAAATTTTTAGCGACGTTTAAAATATGTCAACTTTTCCTGAAATCTACTATTTGTGGTAATTAGAGGTGTTCACGGATAAAATTATATGGATCAGGAATTAATCTGTAATTCAATCTGTTTTTCAATCGAAAACATCAGAGTTCGCGAATTCACGGATGTGCTATGTGATTGAGTGTCATAGCTTTAAGAAATAAGAACTGAGGAGAAGAGAGGAAAAGAAGCATGAGAGATTGTCACGGGTGAGGTTTGTAAGGAATGCACGACTGTGTGAAGTGTTTCCTCTGATTTAAGTCAATTAGGCTCATCAACAACATTCTTAATTGGCCTTTAACAGTAATAGAAATTTATGCAGCCATTTATTAGGTACATATATTTATTAAAAATCTCAAAATATACATAGATATAAGTTTATGTGATATATATAGTTTTAGATTCACGGATTTCACGGATTGTGAGATACTCAACATGTAATCTAATTTGTAACTTTTGGTTTTGGAAAATCTCAATTCATTATGGATTCAAAATCCATCTAATTCAATCCAATCCAATTCGGTCCAGATTCGACGGAACGGATTGAATTAATTTCTGAATTTGGTAAACCTCTAGTGGTTGTTTGGATGTACACTTCATGAGTTCCTTGATGTTGGTTGCTCACTTTCTTAATTTGTTAAAGAAAAACAAGCCCTTTTGTAAGACAAAATTTGACCATTTTTTTTTTTTAATTCGGGCTATATTTTGTTCCCTCCTAGAAGTAAGCTATTTCCTTCTTTTACCCTTAATTAATCTTTCTTTGTAAATAACATAATGACAGTTTTAGAGAGTGGCCCTTTGGAAAATCCAGTGGATTATGGATATGGATAGCGTTCAAGGCCCTAACGATTAGCATTAAGAAAGTCGTCCGAGGTAGTAATGTCGCTAATTTAGAGAGACGGTTATTTTTCTCAAGGATAAAAACTTCCACTTTTACATATAACTCTTTTCATGGTAATTATATTATAACACCCTTTTTATGGTTAGACTTTGTTCCTATTGATATATTCCCTTTGTTTTTATTTAAGGTGTGAGATTTTTATTAAATGCAAAATAGAAAAGCTGATAAAGAGATTAGGGTTTCTTATTAATACAATTGCAGTAAAACACTACGATAAATAAGCTGATGAGGATATAGCCGTAAGTAGGGGTGTAAGAAATGAGTCCAAACCCAAATAACCCGTCTGACCCGACCCGACCTGAAAGCGTATGGTTTTTTTAAAATTCGTTTTCTAACCCGTCCGACCCGGGCGGGCATTTTGAACCTGATTCTCCCCGACCCGACCCGATTTTAGGTGTGTAACCATAAATTCCTAAATCTATTTTGCTAGACTATCTCTATATGAATTGTTTATTTGACATATTGTTAATTTTATTTCTGGACTTTATTGACTGTTAAGAAGTATGTTTGATGTTATGTTAATGCTTATGGACTGTTTATGAATTTTATGCTTTTGGACTGTTAAAAGAGGTATGAAGTCATAGATTAAAATTGGTTTTCACCAACCCGAGTAACCCGAGCCTACTCGAGGTCACCTGAAAGGTTGTGGGTTTGTGGGCTTAAGAGAGTGTTACGGCCTAAAATTTTCTCAACCCACACTGAACGGGTCGGCTCAATTTTTCGGCTCAACCCGACCCTATCCGGCCAAATTACACCCCTAGCCGTAAGGAGTACGAGACTATTCTACCTGTATTAGTAAAAGAAATAAATAAATCCTAATATAAATCTAAATAGCTCTAATAAATCTAACCATGCACACAAGAAGATAAAAGATAAAGCTAATTGAAATTGTATCAGTAATACATGTACGTGCATAAATATTATATATATTTCTTATTAATTAACCCAAAAAAAAAAAGGACATCATCAGTCTGAATTTTTCATGGAAAATTAAGGCTTAATTAATATATGTTATACTATAGTTGAACACGTGGATGCAGCTATTAATTCCTCCATTGAAGTTGGTACTTCATTTTGATAATTGTATATATATGGTTTATTGCTAGCCGTTGATCCCTCCATTGTCAGTAACATATCACGGTCGATGAATTCTGGTCTCTCTTTTACCAAAAAAATAATAATAATAAAAAAGAGAAAGAATTCTGGTTTCTCCTGAGCAAAATTAGTTTCTATCTTTTCGCGTCTTATACCTTTTGCTTCTCTTGGATATTCTTACTTTCTGGCCCGGCCGTCTAAAAATTTCCAGCATATAATCAGTAATCTCATCCGGAACTTTTCCACAAATAGAACATGCTCCGCAATATTATACAAGTACATGCAAATCTTTTAATATTAATTGGCGTCACAATTTTGTAAACACGTGACAATAAAAAGAATAGTAATTCACCCGTTATATGAGCTGGTATTAAAAATATTTGAATTATAGTTAAGAGTTCCTATTATTTGTATATATTTTTTAAAATTTTCTCTAATAGGCCTCCTTATTAGTATTGACAAATTACATCAAGATTAAGAAAATATGCAGAATGAACAATTTCTGATATAAATTT